CATGGTTTTTGCGCGAATAAGAAAACAGGAACACGAAGTCAGTTTGCTACGTCTGTGTACTCTGTCGTGATCCTCAGTTTCCGACCATTCGTTTGTCAGATGTCCATGAGACTTTGTTTGGAAGAACATTACTGATAGCTTCTGAAAGCTAATTTTGGTTACAGGAGCAAATTGAGATTGATACTTCCTCAACTACCTAACTTAACGGAACAGTTTTTGAAATGTTGACAATCACACAGTCGGTCAAGAAATTTTCCGTTTTCGCTGGAACCGACTCAATGCCGCATTCGAAAGCTCTACACTTAGCTAGTTGAATATAGTCCACACCGTATGGCTATATCTATTTTAATATTATCCTGCTATCTAGATCACCGTCTCCGATACGGTCTCTTCACTTTAGGTTTTCGGACTTGTACACATTTATCATCTCTCCCATTCGTTCTACACGTCCCGCCAATCTCATACTTGATTTGATCACGTTAAAAAAATCTGGTAAAGAATATAAATTATGAAGCTGTTCGTTGTACAATGTTCTGAAGCTTCCTGTTTCTTCAAAAATAACTTTTTTCGCCTTGGCTGGAAGATGGAGTTTGAAACCCATACGAAATACAAGACAGATAAGACATATCTGTATTCCTTCGTAGAGGTAACTTCCTCATGAAGATGGCTATCTTCTGGGTTGGTGCTCAGTATAGTCTTGAAGACGTTTACCGACGTTTCAGAGGTTTTTGCTGCCTCCAACATCAGGGCTATTATTGAGTCGCCCACGACTCTCTCGGCCATCTTCACACTCGCCGCCATGAGAACATAAAAATATCACTTCTTTATTTATTTTGTTACACAGGTTAAGCAGCAAATCGAAAATTGGTAGAGTCAAAAACAAAATATCTTGACGCCCTTTTTGAAAAATAGACAACATTTCAGTTCGGACTGAGGAGCGCTACAAGCCTGTGAGGTGCCAACGTGCACACCTATCACCGTACCAATAAATGGCAAGCATATTTTTGCGCATGTCATCTTGCGGAAGGGCTCGGATCAAACAAAAGGCAACACAGAAGAGAGCGGAAACGTGTTCTAGTGTGGAATACACACATTTTCCAAATGAGTCCCATGCCTTTTATACATATCACAGGCAATTATGTTAATGTAACTCACGCAGATATCAAATCCCTTTTTGCCGAGAAAGTATATTGCTGTCACGCTATTAAACGAAATTAAACATACACTACACTGACAAACATTTACAATAACATGTCACACATTAATCCTCCGAAGCACAAGGTCGTCTTAATAATATTTAAAAATTCAGTTCCTACATAAAACACATTTATTTCGTACAAAGATCACTTGATTATAATTATAACTCTCTCAGGAAATAATCGCTGTTTACTCAGAGAATTATATAAAAAACTTAAAAAAAATCTGTGGGCAAAACGCAGATTTACTGAATGTTAAAGCAAGTTATGCATAAGGCTCCCACTGGGCTCTTCAACGATTAATTATAGTAATCTCTGGGTACGGACTGCACGACCGGTGTTCGATCCCCTACGGAGGCACAGGATTTTTCCTCTAGCCTCTGTGTCCAGACCGGCTCTGGGACCCACCCAGCCTCCTATCCAATGGGTACCGGGGTCCTTTCCCGGGGGTAATATTTGCTTCCTAGCATCACGTTTAGACTGCTGGTTTCTTTTTACGACGATGATAATCAGTGGTGGATCCTGGTCTAGGAGTCAGGTCGTGCGGAAATGCAATATTATTAAATGCCCAACAACCGCGACACAATGTTAAGATAGTTTAATAATAATAAAAATCACAATAACTCAATTCCTTATTTTAACGCTAAGTCAGGAGCCAATTAGAGTCAGCACAAGAAAATAAATACAAACACAAAGAGCAGAAAAACTAAAACAAGTGAAAACAAAACAAAGCAAAAGTGAATACATATAATCAATCTAAACACTTCCACGTACCAAGAAAATGTCATCAAAGAAGACATCACTTTTGCTAAAAATATCCAAACACCAGCGTGTTATTTGGAGCAATGACGCACCTAGCTGAAAGACTATGTCTTCATACGCAGCTTACGCTTAAAGTATAAAATTCTTTTATTTGCCTTGTAGACACAACAACAACAACAACAATGATAATAATGTCACTATTGCGTTATACAGTAAAACATTTCTTTTACATTTCTCCGAAAGTGATCTGGCAAAGTCTGACTTCTAAACTGCCGTCTTATTTCACAAACTTGTTTTAGAATCACCCCTTTTAAACTTTTCATTCAGTTTCGGAGAAGCAAACAGAATCACAAATATACGCTGTAAACCATCGGTATTCTAGGTTTTTGGTGGTCTCTGCCATATGCAGCTTTAACATACAAATGTTTAAATACTACAATAAATTTTTGAATCTGAAACAAATTCTGTATGAACGCAAGTCGTTCCCATTAACTGCACGTAACACACCAGACAAATCAAGTTATCCACGCAATAATGGAACCGTACCATTGCCTACCTGATCCCTGTCAAGTTCCAGTCTAACATCCTAAATTGTAACGTAGAACAAACACAGATGCGGACTTGCATCATACCAGAAATACTCCTACGCCATCTTGAAACCGGTATATTAAAATGGAACGCAAACGGTCGTATATCATGACGAAGCACTGAGATAACCATCGCTTTTGTCTAGATTTGTGTTCATATGAATGAATGAAATGTGGGCGCTTCTTCATTCTGTGGGCTGGAATTAAAATCTGTCCATGGCTGGCTGGCTTGTTTGAGAGACATACGCTCGTGCCATGTCGACGGGAAATTACCAATAAAACTACATACGAGGTGCTACCCAAAAGTTCGGGGAATTTCAATTCTACGCTCGAACCGGTTGTGGAATGGCCTGCAGCCGCTAGATGGGGCGAGCAATACCCTTTGTAAATTAATGTGCCACCAGCCGTGAAGGCGTGAGGCCGCGTTCTTGAGTCTCGTGCGTTTTTGTAACGTTGTGTTGTAGTGGTTCGGCGATTTTTTTAAACCTTCATAAATGGCAGATTTTAAGGAGCAAATAATCTGCATCAAATTTTGCTTTAAGCTTAAAAAAACTGCTGTATAAACCCGCCGCATGCTTGTGGAAGCATTTGGTGAGAATGTTATGAGTCAAAGTAAAACTTTTTTATGGACGAACGTCTGTCGACGACGATAAGCGTTCAGGACGACCATCTACATGCACGACACCGGAAAACATCGCGAATTTGTCCCCCCTGGTCAAACTGTCAACAGGAAGGTTTATTGTGAATTTTTTAAGCTTAAAACACTCACACTTGAAGACTTACAGGGATGCATGGAATCATGGAAAAAACGCTGGGGTCGCTGTATCCATGCCCAAGGGGACTACTTCGAAGGAGACGGTGGAAACTAGGAGTTATGATATGCAATTTTTTTTGTGGAGAAATTCCCTGAACTTTTGGGTAGCACCTCGTACATACGTATGGATAGCGGAGGATATGAAATTATTGGACCCTTCCAGGATTAAAAGCTCAACACACAATCACGATTCTGTCTTCGGAGTGAACAGTAGTTATAGGCAGAATCTGATTCAATTACATTGTACCGACATTTGCAGGTTTCCTCACCCGCCCCGTTCGTAATACCCACAGTAACGAAATACTTAACACCAGGAATAATTACTAACAAACAGACTGCAATATGACATATTTCATCGTATTTAAATTCCCCATTTGTTGCAATTATTCTATCTCTGTCATAATTGTTAAATTAGTTTGTATAAATATAACTGTTAAACTCAATCTGAATATAATTTAAATTACCAAACATGGACTGAATTATTCTACATTATAATGAAGAAAGAGTCTCAGGTACTACCTTCAATTGAAACTGCAGTCGAAAACGCAACAGGCCAGAATGTTCGATAAAGTGGTACGCTCTTCAGTTCCCGTTCAAGGCATGTACTAGTGCATTCACCAGTTTGGTTACCAGTCTGATGACCGAGTAATTCGGCGTCCGCTGCTACAGGTAATTTATTAGTGCGTACAGGTTCACACGGGCCTGTTACTGGAATTTATTTTACAAATTTTATGAATCACTGTATTAACTATTCATGAAATACTTCTCTCAGGCGTTAACTGTTTATTCATCATACAGTACTACAAAAAGGTACGAGGGGCTCATACAATATTATGGCGGGACGTCAGCTGAGAACTTTTGCTTTGGACAGAATTAGACTCGCTTAAAATACAATCTATTGTTCTCC